AGAGAGAGAGAGAGAGAGAGAGAGAGAGAGAGAGAGAGAGAGAGAGAGAGAGAAGAGAGGAGGGGAAGGGAGATTCTATGGTGGAGCTGAATATAACTAAGATATAACTAAGAGGAGATAGAGTTAGGGAGATTCTATGGAGGATGTGGATTTTGTGAGGTTTGGGAGAAGGAAGAAGAGGAAGAGCAAGAGCAACGACTGAGAAAAAAAAAACTAAGTGAAGGATGGGCAATAGGCTGTCAATAGGGAGTTTTTATAAGGGGCATTAGTGATTGGGTTTCAAAATAAAGATATTAGTGAATAAATTAGGTGAGCCAGGGGTAAAGCTGCCAATTTCCCTAAAAAATAATTAAGCCTATCATTAATAGAAGTTAGCATTTTATTTTTTCGCGCGACCAGCAACAGCAGAATGAAGAAAAGTAGACTAATGCCAGAAAACAAAATGAAAAATGAAGTCTTTTGACTCGGAACTGAAATAAAGAGGAAAGGTCATGTGGAAGTGAGTAATGGTTGAGGGACTTGAGCGTTTTAAAAGGAAACTCGTTCGAGGTCTGAGAGCTTCCTTCCCAACTCACTTTCATTCAAGTTTGAATATCGGCTGAGACTCTGAGATGCTGAAGATGATGACGGCAACTGCATCTTCTTATGGCAGCAGAGGTATGCCTTCTCTTCACTCTACTGTTTTTGTTCTCTTGAACACTTACTCAGCCTTGTTTCATTCTCAACCCTCAAATTCGAAGCCAATCAAATCTAGAAACACCCATCTTGTTAGAGACCCAACAACAGTCTCAAATCTTGAGGATGCTTTCAATGTGTTCGATGAAATGCTTCACATGAGTCCTCTGCCTTCGGTTGTCCGTTTCACTCAAATCTTGGGTCGTGTTGCGAAATTGAGACATTATTCGGCCGTCCTCTCTTTGTATAACCAAATGTGTCTGTTGGGAATTGGTGCTGATGTTTATACTCTAAACATTAGCATTAATTGCTATTGCCATCTGAACCAAATGGGGTTTAGTTTATCTGTCTTGGGACAATTCTTTAAATTTGGTTTTGAACCAAATGTCAGTACCTTCACCACTCTAATCAAGGGATTTCTTCTCGAGAATAGAGTGGCTGAGGCTGCAGAAATTTTCAACAAAATGATGAAGCCTGATGTGGTTACTTTCGGCACACTAATTAAGGGCTTTTGCATGACTGGTAATAACAGTGCAGCTATTCAATTGCTGAGAAGGATGGAGGAAGGAGCTTGCAAACCTGACCTAGTTGTCTATAGCACGATCATCGACAGTCTTTGTAAGGATACACTAGTTGTTGATGCACTGAACCTCTTCTCAGAAATGATAGCAAATTAGGAGAGTGGGAAGAAGCTACGAGGTTGTTGAATGAAATGGTGAGTAGAAATATCTTTCCAAATGTGCACACCTTCAATGTCTTGGTAGACACACTTTGTAAAGAAGGGATGGTTGGGGAAGCACAAACCGTGGTCGAAATGATGAGTGAAAGAGATATTGAACCTGATACTGTTACGTAAGTTCTTTTGTGGACGGTTACTGTTTACGAGGAGAAATGGACAAGGCAAGAAAAGTTTTTGAACTAATGCTTTGCAAGAACTCCATGACTGATGTTTTTAGTTATAGCATATTGATAAATGGATATTATAAGCATAAAAAAGTCGATGATGCCATGATGCTTTTTATGGAAATGTCTCGTAAGGGATTGATTCCTGATACCATTACTTATACCACTCTTATAGATGGTTTCTGCAAACTGGGGAGAATACATGATGCACAGAAGTTGTTCTGTAATATGAAAGCTTCTGGCCAACTTCCAGATGTTCAAACTTATGCTGTTTTACTGGATGGCCTTTGTAAAAATCAACAACTTTCGTTGGCAATGGAACTTTTTGGAGAGATCGAAGGCAAGAAGTTGGATATTGGTATTGTGATTTACAATATTCTTATTGAAGGTTTGTGCATAGCTGGAAAAATTGAATCTGCAAGGAACCTTTTCTATGATTTATCATCAAAAGGACTTCAACCTAATGTCAGGACATATACTATAATGATTAATGGGTTTTGTAATGGGGGCCTGATAAGTGGAGCGGCAAAGTTGCTTAAAGAAATGGAAGAGAAAGGACGTCCTCCAGATGATTGCACCTATAATACACTTATCAGAGGGTTTATCAATAGTAATGAGATATGCAGGGCAAGGGGACTTATTCATGAAATGGTAGAGAGGGGTTTCTCTGCCGATGCATCAACTGTGACATTGTTAGTTGATTTATTGTCCAAAGCTAAAGTAGATCCTGCTTTGTTGCCATTGATACAAAACTCATTATGAAGTTCATTTTCATCTTTGAAAGCTGGAAGAGTTCCTTCTCATGAACTGTGATGGTGATGCATCTATGACAACCATGAATGCATTTTATTTGTTAAAATGTAAATTTTACTAATATTTCATGTAGTTGCTTCTGGTCTTTATAAATGGGTGCTATCGTTGGGTTGTGTGATAGTTGCTAATGGTGGGTTGATGGCGGTGTTGGTGCTGGTGCAGTCACAGCTATTCTTGAAGTGGTTTGCAGTTCTTGAAATGGACTTGAATTTCTTCATCTTCTCTTCAGGCCTCAAACAAAACTCTCTTATTTCTCCATGAGCACCACAACTCTCTTATGTTCCTCCTCAAACTAATCTTACAAATTTCTTATATATGATTTCCTGTTGCATCTAAGAATTTTATCTGTGGTTGGGGCGAAGGATCCTATATCTATTGCTCTCCATTATTACTTCAATAAAAATTTATAATCTGCAGTGCTGACGAGCCAACCTTGTCTAGACTTCTAGTCAATCTGAACTCGACAGTTTCTTAGACTAGCCAAATCTATCTAGTAATGCTGTGCTCTGTGTTAGAGTTGATATACTTATGAACTAACCCATTATTCATAACCTTTTCACCAAATAAAAATTCAATTCTCCTTTAAGCTGATAAAATGAAGAGGAGAGATTCATTCCAGTGAAGGAACCCGCGTGTGGGGTGGATTTGACCATCAAAGTATAATTAAAAAGTTAAATTCCAAAATAAAAATGAACAACTTTTCCAAAATAAGCCGTAAAGAATGGAAAGCTAATTCCTTGAAAATATACACAAATAGTTTGGTCCATGTATTTTAAAAGTCTATACTTTACAATTTTATAAATTACGAATCATTACACCATTGGTCCTTCTGTCAAGTTAATATTAATATTTTTTGATGTAGCACTCAATTGGTCTATATTTTTGTTAAGATTGTCTTTGAAAAAGAAGTTCTTATTTGTTGCTCCTCTGACACATGTTAATCCACGTGCCATCAACCTTGTGCTTATGTAAGCAAAACAAAAAAGCCAACCGAGTGCCATGTAAACAAATAGTAGTTTACTCGATAGTTGGGTGAACAGAAAGACCAATGGTGTAACAATTTGTAACTTTTAAAGGTTAATGTCGTCGATTTTTAAAAGACAGAAACCAAACTCTATTAGATGACCTAAACAACTAGGGGTGCAAAATGTAATTGACCCCAGCAAGAAAAAAGGATACCAAAAAACTTGCGGTGAAAATACAATCGTATTCGTACCAATTGTGCCCAAAAATGCTTTACTCAACTGTGATATTTATAATATTCTCCAAGTGTTTGACTTTGAGAGTGATTGAATAAGATTCATCGACCTTAACTCAAGCCAGAAGTCCTTCGACTCAAAAGTCACTTGACTCAAAAATTGCAGCTTTGAAAAAAATCCTCTAAAAACTATTCAAAAATACTAAAACTTAGGCCTTACAAAATCAAATAGCCCCCCCCCCCCCTATATAAAGTATGGTTCTCAAAGTAACCAAACCTTTATGAAGAACAAGAGGAATATAGATGTGGTTTCAGTATGAGGAAACTTGGTGAAGTAATAATAATGGTGGTCTCTCCCTCCTCCTGATCTCTCTCATCTCTCCTTCTCTGGGCTTCCCCCTCAAAATCATGCTTTTGGTGATCAAATAAAATTAATGAAACGCACGTTTCATTGGGCACGAATCAAATTCCAACCAACTCGGCCATTTACTGGGATTGTTAGATGTTTTTGTGAGGGTTATTTTCGTTTATATCGGCCTAGTTACTACAACATTGGCAATACCTATGTCGTGAAAGCCCACTATATTGGTGCTAATGCCTGCTATATTGTCAATATCTATTCTAGTTACCAACGTGTACCAACATTGGGCAAATTAAAATTGATGATGAGACTGAAAAATATGACGTTGCAAATGATATGTATTATGTCATATGCCACATAAGTTGGTAACAAAGTTGGTGCCCTAGCATTATTGCGCAGCATGTAAACTTTTTCAAAAATATAATGTCCGTGTTTCCATCTACCACGTATCTGTACCTGTGACCCCGAAAGTTGAAATTGTCCAATCCCAATCACACTCAATGACAAGAAGTGGAGTTAAACAGCCTTCAAAGTTAACAAAAGTTAAAGGAGTAAAGCTATCTTCAAGGGAACAATACCATGCACGTCCAAGAGCCAAGGATGCTAAATCACTAAATGACTATACAATCTTTTACATTACAATGGAAAAAGCTAAGAGAGTACAATATCAGCTCAACTAGCTTGAAGAAACAAATGTCTAGAACCCCTTGGGGTTAGCCCAAGTGGAGAGGGAGGGTATGGAAATGGATTAGGATTCCGAAGGTCCTGCTTATACTACACCTCTTAAGTCATTTCATAAAGTCGGATTAGAGTCAAGCTCAACAGGGTTTTCTTTTCCCGCTGATTCTGCCAAGCCTGTTATGGTAGGCAAGGGTTTGATCCCTTCCAATGTAAACTATAAAGAAAGAAACAAATGTGTCTAACCTACAAACATTCTGCACCCTGGGGTAGATCTTAACCTTCTATACTGTTCAATGACAACTTTCACCTTCTTGCACGTGCCAGAAACACCTGAAATTTCTACACAGCGTTAGCAATGCCAATGCGTAATTGACAAAATCAATTAATACTCAAGTGTCAATTGAACACAATGAAGAGATAATCCAAGGACATAATAACTTGTTCTTATGTTCAACAATTTGGTCATGATTCTTGTCTATGATAAAAAGTAAACTAAAGAGTTCCGATACAAGACATATCACTTAGATTTTCGGTCATGATAATTACCATCATCAAGATGGAGATTAATAGTGATCCAAGAATAATCAAGGAGAAATTGCTATTTTCTTGACTCAAGACAGCCACATACAATCACAAATGACGAACAAATACTCGAATAGAATTGTACACTTTATAACTTTATGTAAATTTATACACTGTCACAGTCCCACATATTCAAATTTAAGTATACTTATAAACCAACAAAAACAATCCCAGACAACGCATTTAATTACAAAACAAACACTAAACAAAAACCCCAAGCCATGCCAAAACATAAACGCAAGGCTTGATTTGCAGAAAATGCCAAAAAGCCAAAAACGCAGAGAGCAACACAAGCAAGGTTCAAAGGTACACTTACAAATAGTTAAAGAAGAAACTAACAATAAGGGTCTAACAAAAGCAGAGGCAATATAAGGCCTGATGTATAGAAAGGTAAAGAAAACAAAAAGAAAATAGAGACAAGCCCTAACGTTTTTTTTTTGTTGTCAAATCGGGTTTTTGATAAGAGTTATAACTGAGGGCTTCCGACACTTATCTTCTTCCTCCCAATGAGAGAGAGGAGGGAAAGCTTTGTGAGTGCTTGAGAAAAAAAAAGAGAAGAGATTCTGCCTTCAACATTATTTCCAGAAACAAGTAATCCCCTTCATTTTCCAAGAAATGTGTATTTAGTTTGTCTGGTCGGATGGTCCAATTATTGATCCTAAAAATTTATACACTAAATTTAGGTGGGTCCCTAGTTTAGTTATGTATAGGCTCCTAGGAGATGATGACCGCCAATTACTACTAGATCGTCAACAACTAGCTTGAATCTTATTTGAGTTTACAATCCACATAAGTACCTCTGCTGATCCTTCTCTCTGAATTCCCGGTATTCAGTTGTCTTCCTTGGTTCTACCCATCTATTCATGCAGTAGATCGCCGGTCTTTTTCTCTCTTGTTTTTCCTGGGTATTGATTAATACCACCATATCATCTCTCCAGCATGAACGATGGAAGGCTTCAGATACACATTGTTATAAACTATACATTCTTATCTGCTACTAGACGGACCTTATTCAAAGACTCTTTAAATGCTTGCCAAGATACCATATAGTGATCCTGAGAAATCATCCCTTCCTGAACAACTTGCATCGCTCTTCTATACAAATGATCAAACCACTGAACTGGGTTTGTGATATCAACATTATTGCTCCCAAGATCTGGTACATACAACCGCTTAAAGTCTTTTCTCCATCTCGACAAGATATACTGAAACGGTATTTCTTCCACACCATTATAGTTCAGGATGCGTAAGGCGTGTCGGCATAGGTAGCCATTTAAATTAAAGCAACTGCACATACAACGAACTTCTGCTCCTGCTTTGTCATACATAACTTCAAAGTTCCTATTATTATCCCTCATAATTTCCTCCCCTTCACGTTCTTTGATCATGTATGTCACAATTGGTCCATTTGTGTGAACTTGAGTTATGCTAAAGCAAGAAGACATCAACACAACCTCATCTTGAAACTTTATGAATACATCTTTTGTGTAAAACTTAGAGAGTTGCAACTCGTAATAGCATCTTGTTCTTAACATTGGAGTCAATTCTCTCGACTCAAAATCATTACGAGCTTCTTCCTGACGCTTCTTTTCTAAAACTACATGATAAACATCAAGAAACTCTTCCAACGAAGTTTGTTGATGCACATAACCATCGAAAAATGGGTTTGTGGACTCACCTTTCTGAAAATTGGGCATTACAGCAAAAACTGTGTCTTTTGAGTAAACTGGAACCCATCGCTCTCGATCATCATACAAAGTTTGAATAAACTCATGATCCCTTATTCCAAATCTCTGAATCATATGCTCCCAAGCCAATTCAAACTCATCTACTTTTATTGAGTCATATACAGTCCTACTCAAAATCATTTGAAATGCCTCATATTCTTGTATTGCTCCCATATTCTCAAGAATACTTTGCATGACATGTGAAGAAGAAAGACGATGATGAGCCCTAGGAAATACCTCTGCTAGAGCACTTTGCATGGCCTTGCACTGGTTTGTGATGATAGTTTGTGGAGGGCGACCAGACATACACGTAAGCCATGCCCTAAATAACCATATATATGTTTCTAGGGTCTCATCGGCTAGCAAACCACAACCAAGCAAGATAGTTTGTCCATGGTGATTTACTCCAACAAACACAACAAGTGGAATCGCATAATTGTTTGACAAGCATGTAGTCTCAAATGAAACCACGTCACCAAAGTAAGTGTACGCTGCCCTAGACCTGGAATCAATCCAAAACACATTCCTCAAATACCCTTCATCATTGAGATCGATCACATAGAAAAAATTAGGATCGGTTAGCTGAACCCGGCAAAAATACTTATAAATTGCTCTTGCATCTCCATTTTTGAGTTTCAATCGCTTGGACCGATCAACATGGTTGTTAGTTTCTCCCTCGTTTGAGTTTGAGCTTCCATAACCAACTGCATCTACGACAGGTGTCCGATATAACTTGATTGTGCGTACTTCAACATCAACGGTTGGCTCCATCTTTCTTTTAGCTCCTGAGTCCATCCTCTTGTGCGACTTGGAGTTCTGAGCTCTTTCAGGATCAAATAAATGGTTGTGTTCAAGCTTGACTTCATCCACTCTCCATCTGTTAGATTCTACTAATCTCAACCTTATCATTGCTAGACAGCCTGTTCTTGTTTCTTTCTTGCGGCTGTTTGCTTCTTTAATTGTTTTAAAACCCTCACAATTGCAACAGAGCACTGCACCACGCTTCTCCTTGCTGTTACGCTTTGTCCATGAGGATTTCACCCTGATAGCAAATCCAAGTTCCTTAGCATAACAATTATAATAATTGTAAGCATCATCATATGAATCAAACTCCAAACCCACAACTGGTGGGGGATAGGCCTTTTCTTGAGATCCACCATTTTGATAATCAATTATTGTTCTATCATCCCTGCTACTTTCATGGTCATTGCCTTCAATTTCAAACAGATGCTCATTTATATCACCTCCGTCGTTTTCATGGTCATTACTTTGAATGTCAAACAATTGATCACTTGTATCATCTCTTTCACTTTGAGGCTCATTGCCTTCAATCTCAAATAATTGCTCGCAGTCATTTTCAAGGTCATTGTTTTCATTCTCCAGCAGTTGCTCGCTGCTTTGAGAACCTTCTTGTATCTGCAATAGTAAACAAGTCATTAATTCTTAAGATATTTCAAAGACAGGCAGAATTTATGAAAGATAAGAAGAAAAAAATGGAGCAATAGCATGCCAACCAAGTCATTGCTTGGTTTTCTTTTTAGATGCATTGCTCCTGATGGACTTCTTGTCCATCTTGTTTTCTAATTTCTTTGTAATAGAACTGTTCTCTTATCAAGTAAATAGCTTGCAAACCAAGCATGTGTATGACGGCCATTTTGTTGTTGCAAAGTGACAGAAAAGTCTCATCTTGTTCAGTTTATGATTCTTATCTTTCTTCTAATACGTGTAGCTCAGTTGCCCCTCTCTCTACATGTACGTACAGAACATATGCAAAACTCTGATGCTTTTATGATGTATCGAAAACTCCCTTAAATATTGTTTTCTGGCTGTTCCTTTGCTATGAAAAAAGTAGGCTCTTTGTTATTGCGGAGTGACAGAAAAATCTCAATCCTATTCACTATATGATGTTTATCTATCTTCAATAAATGTAGCTCAGTTCCTCGGGACTCTCCCTGTCAATCCTCTCGACGCACAGACCAGATGCAAAATTCGGATGCTTATCTGTTGTATCTAAAGCTCCGTTGCATAATTCTCTGCTATTTTCATTTAAAGTTTCGATCTTTTTTAATTTTAGAGTTATTCAAAAAGAAACTGAATTCTTCCATTTGGTTGCCAACTGTAAATTTCTTTTTTCTGTCACAGCTTAATTCAAGCAAGCTAAGTACTTCCCAGTATCTGAATTTCCAATCCTACTCAATAATTGTTAGATTTTGAATCCCAAATGGTTTTTATCCACCTTTCCATTGAAAATTCCTTTTCTTAACCCTAATTTTCTCAGGAATCAAACAGAAAGTGAACAATGTAAGATAAATTGTAAGAACAATTACAAGCAGAGTGGATGAAGAAGGTAACGCGAGCTTACAGTGATATGGAGGTTAGAGTTTGCTGAGAAGACCTGGTCGCTCGGAGAAAAAGTGTTTTCGCCGGTCATGGTTTGAGCTTTGAGCACGCCTTCTGTCAAAGTTGTGTGACCTTAGTTTTACCCTCAACTGCTGGGACCCCTTTTTTGCTTTTTTCTTTTTTGTTTTGGATTTAAGTCCTTCATTTTCCTCGTAATTGCAAATTAATAAGGAAGATTCACTATTATACCCAATATAAAAGCTCAAATTATAAAAAAAACCATATATGAAATTGACTTTGGAAACACACCCAAAGCCCATTACAACAAAACAAAAAGGCTTTTAACTTCTTTTAAATTACAAAACTGCCATTAATTTCTTAAAACAAACTCAACCCCAAAACCTCATTAAAAAACCCAAAACACTCAATATGGCATCAAAATAATTTAATAATCAAAATTAAATTTAATAGGGAGTTTCACTAAAATACCCAAAATGGGGGCTGAAATTATAAAAATACCCAACACCCAAAACACTTTATAAACATACCCAAAACTCATCATTACTGTGGGAGCCAATTTCCTCCCACGGGAATATTCGCCTAAAGATTCCTTCGTCTTCTCCGCCTCTCTTTCTCCCTGCAAAACGAATAACAATAAGAGGACCGCACCCGGGGGGTGTTGGCCAAAGGCCCTCCGATGCCTAAGTCAGTTCAATCGATCTGAAGAGAAACGATGGCTAAAATAGGGTACGGGAATATGTATGTGTGGTAAAAACCGGGTGGTCGGAACCGTGAGTGGTGGCCGGAGCCTTGTGTAAAAAGGGAGAGAGAAAGTGGCGGCTAGGGTTTCTGAGAGATAATTTCTGCAGAGTTTCAGTAGGAGTTTAGACGTACCTCAACCCTTGTGTGTAGCTAGGTATTTATAGGAGTCTCGGGAGCTAGGTTTTCAGAGGAATAATTCCGTAGATGGAAGGGAATTATTCCTCCCCAATTTGGCGAGATTT